ATATAGATTTTCCGCCATTTTGATTTTTTTGAAAAACACTTAAAATCAATCTCTTCCTAGGAAGTTTGACCGATCTGCATGAAACTCGGTGAACATAATCTAGGGACCAATATCCAAAGTTCCCTCTTGGCAAAAGTTGGAAAACTTACTAAAACTGAGCTTCTATAAGGCAATGAATGTTGCGGAGGGCGTGGCTCATCACATAAAGGTGTATAACATCTCAAGGGTTTCACTGATCACCACGCAACTTTGTAGGCATATGACCACACATAATCTGAGGGGACCCCTCCATTATTGACCCGATCAAACAAAATGGGGGCGCTAGAGAGCTAATTTCTTATCTAGGCCTAACTGCCACATCAATTTTTACTAAACTTGGTAGATATGTAGAACAGGATGCCTCAAGGGGACTGGAGAAATTTAACTCTAATTGGCAACTGGGTGGCGCTATAACAACAGAAAAATGGCTAAAATGCAACCGATTGCTGTGGCTCTCCCTGTGGCCCAATGTTGTTGTTTTTTCCTAATTTTTGGTATGACTAAGTGATGGTATGGTATGCTGTATGTAATCAGGGAAACTCTCAGTGTGTCATTCTGTCAGTCATTCTACCAGTGCACCCCACTTTTAAGTTAATACACTTTAACTATCTGCCTTTCAATGGCTACCTCAACTACTAATGTACAGTTTTAGCCCACTAACTATCCCACTATTGGCAATGGTACTACTGTACTTTCAATAAAGCAATCGTACTATCAAATTCACAAAAACTCTGTCTGAATACATTGCTCTTCTTAATGGGTTCACTTGACTATTTAATCGGCAATTTCCTATGACCTGTATCCCAAACACACAACATGTGAAACTGTACGTGGCCAACTGTGCACTCAATGGGTATGGACTAGTATTGTTTTATTTTCAATTTCTGCCAAAATATCCCCCTAAATCATACAGGCTGGACATTTAATGTGAAACTGACACATCAGAAAGTGCAAAACAACAACAACAACAAAAAAGATCTATGAATAAAAATGATGAAATGATTAAATTAAAAGAGAAAAACAAAGCATTTCTCGAGCCCCCAGTGTGTTTGAGGAAGTGGAGGATTATGTATCTGCTTGTGTTGCAATTTTTGAAACGTTTTCATTTGAAATTCTCAAGCTGTTCAGCCCAAGTTGTGAATAAATTGTTTCCCAAAATGAATACATGAATATATGCAACGTAACCCAAACATATAATATGCCAAAGAAACATTACCTCGGTTATACACTCTGTGTGTCACTGCAGGTGCTGCTCGCTGTTCTTCTCAGTAGTTCTTGTCTTTTGTAGCTAATATAATACTGCCAGACAGACTCTGGGACTTTTCCAGAGAAGTTACTTGCACACAACAAAATCAGCCTATTGTGTCATGTCACTGCATTAGGTGGAAAACAGAAGTGAAATCAGCCAGTCTAGATTCCCCCTTAATTGTGTTTAAATGTATCACAGAACCAGCGCAGACATGATCATAGATTTTTTAAAACACATATTTATCATTTACTTGGCACATTTATAAAAGAGTTGCATTAAAACAGACAGCCAGCTTGTGTTTTTTATGAAATTGCAGATCATAGGTAGAATTCAATATATACAGTTATATTACATAAAAGCATTTACAGATGTTGCATTTCAGTGTTTATTGGAGTTTGATTCCAACATAACAGCTGAGTTTTGTGCTACAAAAGCTACATTCTGAACAACAGAAGAGCCAGTGCCTTTCTCCCTGTGTCTTCTCCTGGCTGTCATGCAGCATAAAAGATCTAAAAGCTGTCTTCGCAACTTTTGTGAGAGCATATACAGCAGAGGGTTCATACAGCAGTGAGAGAATGCAAGTATACGACAAATATGATAGGCATTGTTCAGGTGTTCTTTTGCTTTGCAGCCTTTGGGTTCATACAAAGACTCAATGAAAAGCAAAATATGATAAGGTCCCCAGCATATGAAGAAGGCTGCAACAATACACAACACCACCACTACAGTACTGTGCCTTCTTCTGTTTGAAGCCTGCAAAACTGTCTTGAGGATGGCAGAATAGCAGAAAACAATGATGGCGAATGGAAGGAAGAAGAGCAGGGACACTTGGAGATAATATCCCAGCTTGACATCAGAGCTACCATAAATGTCTTTACACGTGTAAAGATCATCCCAGAACATTACCACTTTTACTTTGATAGCATCACTCACGGATGCAGCAATGCTGATGACCCAGGCAGCTGCACAGGCAACCACTGCACACCTCTGCCTCCTTACACGGTTGCTCGGCCACTTGTGCAGCACCACTGTTATGAAACGATCGACAGTCATTGCAGTCAGTACAAGGATGCTGCTGTACAAACCTATGATGTAAAAAGCAGTTAGAATTTTGCAAGCAACTTCCCCAAAGATCCAGTGGTGCAGCAGATGGACGGCCCAGAATGGAAGTGTGACAGTGAAGATCAAATCGGAGCAGGCCAGGTTCAGGACGAAGAGATTTGTGACAGTTTTCAGGTTCTCGTATATGGCAAGAACACACAAGAGGAGACAGTTGCCTGTGACACTGAAGATGAAGATCAAAACGAAGAAGGCACCACTGATGGTATCAAAGTTAAATAAATCCTCACAAAGATATACCACACCATTGTCAACGTAGCTTGCACCTCCTTCGCTCACTGTGGAGTTGAACGCCATTGTAGGTTTTCTAGGAAACATGAGCACAAAGCTACAATTTGCAAAATGAAATTAAAGGAATATTTAATTCATGAAATGATCATTTGTATAGCAATTATTCATCAGGACTTTGTTTTTCTTGCATGCGCCTCCAATAAACGAAGAATCCAAAAATTCTTGATTTATTGAAGTAAAGGGGGGCCACATTTAACAACAGCAAAAACTATATCAAACCATCTGTATACAAATTCTCAGACAACCTGTGCGGTATAATCCAAGTCTCATTTATCCACAGTATACTCAGCACTTCCCAATACATGCATTTTCACTACAACTATGCTATGAAAAACACATAAAAAGTCTCAGGACAAGTAGCCTGTTGGAGGCTCTCTCATGCATTTGAACTCTTCCTGATAGAATGCATGCATTGAGTCCCAACACACGCACTTGCCCAGGCATGCTATTCGTATACAGATCATAAAGTAAGGTTTTAGCAGAAATACATGTCTTTTGGAATTCATCAAGAATTTTATCCATTTTTTTTCTTTTAGGAATTAAAGATTTATGCATTTTTATATTATTATTTTATCTAGTTATTGTGTTTTTTTCCCTCTCTTGTGTATTTACATATATCTGATTTATCAACACTTGGTGACACTGTTCAGGTTAGAAAAAAAAAGTTCAATATAATATCAATAATTGAAAAAAAGAAGAATTTTCTCCAGTTTTGCATTCTTCACCATGGAGGAATGCGAGAATAACAAAGTTTTCTTCAGGAATTCATCGTAACATGAGGTTAGTAATAGTCAAATTATCAAATCAGATGTCAACAATTTTTTAGCTATTCGTAATTTTTTTAAAAACAAAATGATTTCTTGTAAAATATTTCAATATGCAGAACAATTAAGTACAAGTAGGTCACCCCTAAATATGTAGAGCAATTACAGTGAATGGAAGCCAACTCACCCTGAACGACTGCTGTCACGTCTTGTGCTTATTTGCACTGTGGAGAAATAATGTATTATATACAAGAGCAAACTCATTGTTCCTCTTTTTGTTTCACATTCAGTCAAAGATGCTGAACAGTATTGCAGTTCGAGCATGAACTTTGAATTCACACAACACAAAATGGATGACTTAGGTACTTCCTTTATAACAGAGAACCTAGAAACAACAGTGTGGGTTATTCAAAACAAGACACTCTGGAACTTGATTCATCTTCATTTTATTGTAAAGCACTGAAATTATGATGATGATGATGACGATGACATTATCATGTGAAAATAAACAATGTAACAAATGATCAAAAGCAAAATACTGTCTTGAAATGAAAATATTTTCATTTTTGCTTATACAAAATACAATAGGTGATCTAAATGACTGATATGAAAACATAAAGTAAAATGCAGTTAATCAAAGTAAATCACACGTTATCTCTAATACGATGTATAATCAATTGATCAACATGCATTCAAAGTCACATACATACATAATAACAAACCCGTTCTCATTCCAAGGGTTTCAAATTCAGCAGCTTGATCAGTGGCTCTCTCACTTCTGATACAAAGCTTTTACCAAACTCCAAACACACACAAGACTTTTACCCAGTAGACCGATGTTCATGTCCTCTCTGAAGCCATGATCGTTTTTCTACACCTAACCAAGCTGTTTTGTACCTACAGTAGTTTTGTGCTTCTTGTAACCATGGTGACACAGAAAGTGACACGTCCAAAACTGATGCTTTGAAGTGTAGGGCTCCAAAACAAGCAGCCGTATTTGACAAGTAGTGAGTGAGAATGTATTACAACAACACAGAGATACAGGGTCATTGTTCCTTAATAATAGTACAGATTGATTGGAAACTAAAAAGCAAAATATGTAAGTTAATATGTAAGTATAGTTCTAAGAAACCTAGTTCTAGTTCTAAGAAGTAGGAACAATCTTAATTCTTAGATTACTGTTTTGAGGGACTTTTGAGTAGTTACTCTCCCAGCACATAAGGAACCATGAGTGATGTAACACAGCTGGCACAGGACCTCAATGTGATGTCAGAAAGATGTTGTACTCTTATGCTGGACGAACACTAAATTTTGTTTGAAATAAAAATTGGATGGCCGAAAATTTAAATGCCTAACAACATTAGAATTTCACGCTGTGTGGAAGTTAACACTATGACATTTTGCAGATGTTGGATTTTGGTCTCCATACCTGTGTCAGACCATTATTCTATGTCAAAATTATGGTAGCATGGGATGTTACAAAGGTGTTAGATTTTGGTGACTTGAAGGTATACAGTGCAGGATTGTTGGGTATTGTTTGTAAACATGCTTGCTGGTGAAAGTAAAAGTAAAAGCCAGCCTCAGATTTACTCTTGTTTGGTGTTTCGCCTCACTATATTTGCATTTTTTCGATACTGTGTCTCTTGGATGCCTGCTGCGTATGGTCTGGCATCTGGTCACCACCTTTTTATAAAGCCCTGACCTCACCTGAGCGATGTTGGGGTACAGCACCCATAAATATCAGAAGCACAGAAAATAAAATGAAAATAAGAAAATACAAACAGAGGGTAGAGTCTCTGGAGTACTATACCTTTAACAACACAACCTAAAACCAACAAAAAATCTATTTCATCTGTTGTTGGTAGTCTAGGTCAAATTAATGCTGGCATTGGATGTTTTTCTGAGATTTAATTCGGTTACCAAATGACACAACCTACATTCAACCAAATATCAACATCGAGCAACACTGGTAGGGAAATGAAAGCGCACTGTAATTGGTACAGATGATAAGTGTACATTGACGAACATAGCCAATGCAGCACCGGCTACCATCATTTCTAAAAACCCATTTGCTGTGTGAAACAGACAACACAAAACACAAACAACAACTCTTAATGAAAAAATACATGGACAAATGTGAACAGTGAAGTCCAGGCTTTACCAATTATATATGAGATGGTGGACATACAACGCGATTTTGACTCATCAAAGTGTTGTAGCTGTACCAGCCTTAAACCAGCTACATCGAGAACTCTTCACCACTTGTTAGTGATGTGATTGTGAGTCGGCTCTGCCTATTGCGGATGCTGTTGTTTTTGTGTCTCCAGCCCTTTAGCATTTTTTTTAAGTGGTTTTTGAATTTAACCCCCACAAACACATAAAACACTGGGTTCAGGCAGCAGTGTGAAAAGGCAAAAAATCGGCTAACGTAGAAGGCGTAATCCAGTGGGTCTGATTCTGAACAACGTCTTGCTACAGTCTTTGAGTCAGCAGGCGGTTTGGGCCAGTAATAGAATGACCGCAGAAATATCACTACATTGTAAGGTGCCCAGCCCACAAAGAAAACAACCATGAGGGTAAAAATTAATTTTAAAGTTCTGCGCCTTCTTCTTTGGGCGGTAGGACGCAGCAACCTGCACATTATTTGAGAATAGCAAAAAAGAAACACCACTGAATTCAACAGGAAGAGAGCATTTTGCAGGTAGATTCCCAGTAAGCTCTTTGCAGATACACAGTGATCCTGGACCACTTTGGTGAAGATGATGCCTGGAATGGCAATCGATATACTCACTACCCAAATGATCAGACATGCTAGAATACTGTAGCAGCCTGTGGTGGACACAATGTCAGAGAGAGGATTCATGACAGCCACATAACGGTGAACAGTCATCAGCATGAGGAGGATAAGACTACTGTAGAAGCCAACGTAGAAGACAAAGGTGACTGTTATGCATGCAGGTTCCCCTAAAGTCCATCCATGCACGTGGGAGTAGGCCCAGAAGGGCAGACCTGCGGTGAAGAAGAGATCGGATACAGCCAGGTTCAGGATGAAAGTGTTGGTGAGGGATCTGAGATTCTCAAACTTGGCCAGAATGACAATGACCAGGATGTTGCCAAACAGACTGAGGATGACCACAATGGAGAAGAACACTGAAGTGAAGATTGCTCCAAACTGCATGACGTTTGTTTTGTCGCACAATTCATCTTCGTAGTCATCGGTATAGTTATAGTCGTAGTCGTATTCATCCGTGGTTGTGTTGAAGGGTGAGTCAGTTGTAGTCATCGTTCCTTCAGCAAGAGGAAAATGTCTAAATGTAAAAAAAAAAAAAGCTTGGTTAGAAGGGTAAAGGCTAAATGATAAAGTGGTGATTATTAAAAAAGATAAATCATAGATTCCTGTCAAAACTTTATCAGGCTGTGTCAATAGATCGTCATTCTCTTAATACTTGACTCATGACATGTGGTTATTTTGTAACATACATCTACACATCTCAGAGGATCACTTTACCCAAAAAACATGTTTTCTCGCTTACTTCTTGTGGTATTTAGCCGCATCCATGGTTTTGGTTTTATTTGCTTAGACTCTGAGATATTCATCTCTAAGGTTTATTCTTCGAGTCGTCTGTTCAAACTCGGCCTCATGTGATGCAAAGGAAAGTGAGTTCACTTCAGTTACATGACGGCCGCAAGATAGGCTTGAGAAAACCAACAAACAGGACTTTTAGATCTTTATCTGTTTATTTTTAATGTTAGCATGAAAATGACACATATGTTTATACCCAGCAACAATATGAAGATCAGGCAATGTATTGAAGTTCTGAACAATATATCCATCTATGACGAGTCATTTTGTAAAATTCAGATCATTACATTTAAAGTATATAAGTAAGCATATGAAAATAGAATAGATGAATATCCTCCTGAGACCTGACCTTTTGTTTGGTATGCATTTTTAATTTCTCCTAGCTGTAGGACCCAGTAAGTATAAAAGCTAAACACTGTCAACAATAATTAAGTCCCAGTGTCCTCAAATGAGACGATAATAAAGTCACGATGTTCTCAAATGCGACAAAAAGTAAAAGTCTTCAAACAAGTACTCCCTAAATAAGTGTCTTATCTTATTACCGTTGCTAAACTTGGTCAAATTTGTTGTCATATCAAACTACAAACATTATTGATCATAAATAAACAAGTTTCAACCATAAAATTTGATCAGGTCTTGTCCACTTTTGTGTCAGGATTGGCTGTGGGCTGTTTTTACATGGATTGGTGTATTGTGCTCTTACTTCCATTAGACGGCACAAACAAAGTGTCCACAAACAAGGACAACAGGTCTAAGTTCATCAGAGTGAACATTAAGGTCAAGTAAACCCACAATGCGATGTCCTCTATGTATTATTCTATTCATGTATTTTCTTTCAACTTTTATTTACTCTAATTCCAAACTTTCAGATTCATGGTGAATTATCATTGTGATTTTTATGTCACAAATGCACTGAAGATGTTCTCAAAGGATTTGTGTCTCAAAATTTTGGAGGTATTGCTCACTCGTACAAAAAGGGCATCATCTTTTGTGAGGTGAAACACTCCACCCAGGTACAGTAACTGTTGGATCGCATTCGTCTGGACCCCTCTGAGTATGTCCTGGACATCAGGAGGGCAATAATTTTCAGGTCAGTTTTGCGATGAATAGAATGGTGAAATGCACCAATGCCTAAGAAGAACACCTTGGAATAGACATAGTAACCCTCCTGCTGAACGACAAGACTTCCATTTTTGTAATCCATTTCAAAGAGGAGAGGCTCTGCAGTCATGCTCCATGCCATGATTTGATTTCCGTGTTCTACATCTTGTCTATCTAGGGGTAAAAATGCAGCACTGTAAAGTGTGGTTCTTTGAAAATAGGGGGTTTAAAATGATGAATACAACAATGGGGCATTTGGCTCAAACTACATGAATAAACTGAACACTGTAGTAATGAAAGGAACATCAACACTGGTCTTACCTGTCAGATGTGCAACTGGTTTAGAAAGACTATTAACAAAACTGGGCTTTTTGGTGGGATAAGTAACATCTTGACCTGTGTGATGATCAGACATGTCACTGATCTGATGTGAATAGCTGAGGTGATATTTATCAACTGCGTAAAAAGTGCTCAGACATACCTCCAATCACCAATTTGTGAAAATAAATTGTAAAAAGAACCACAATCTAGCTAAATCATAAAATCTGAATCTTGTTCAAGGACCCCTGTTAGTTTGTTCATGATGTTCTCCTTCTGCAGAACAAAGGAGGACGGGTCTGTCTGTAATCTTGTTTACCAAACTGCGTCAAACCAAGAAGCCACTTAGTTCTCCCTCTGCCGTGTAACTGCCGAGGACAGGAAACTGAGTCACAGTGATACAGTAAAAGTGACCACCCACCATCATCTGGGGCCCTATCTTACATTTGGCGCAAAGCAGCATTCAGTGCAGTGCACTGTCATTGCTAGCCTCAGACCGTTGTTGTCAGCCAGCGCCCATATTGTGTTAGTAGCAGATGCACCAGGTCTTTTAAAGGGAACTGGGGAGGACGCTGACCGGTTGAATTTATGTGATCCCCAAAAAACACCTATGATTAATCAAGGGACAAAGTACACCTCTTTGCTCCTTGCGCATTATTTTGCAGTTGGGCACATCCTAACTGCACCTTCACCATGCACTTTAGACCATGCTCTGTAGATTGTTCAAACAGGGCCCTCTGTTTGCCCCTGCCACCTGGGGACGTCACTGGGGTTTTCCAAAAATGGGCTGGACTTTAAAGTAATAATCTTAAGGATTTTCATATAAATGTATATATATGTTAATAAAGGTCTAGTGTGGAGGATTTAGTGGCATCTACCGGTAAGGGTTGAAGATTGCAGTCAACCTAAACTTCTCCCATGTGCCAAGCGTGTAGGAGAACTAAGATGGCTGCCGTGAAAAACGTAAACAGCCCTGTCTAGATCTAGTGTTTGGTTTGTCCATTCTGGGCTACTGTACAACAACATGGCAGCTCCATATGTAGATGTGAATGGCTCATTCTAAGGTGTTGAAACACAATGTTTCTTAGTTCCAGGTGATTATACACTGATGAAAACATAGTCACGACTTTTATATTCCATGTCTGCCAATATATCCCCCAAAATCCTACATTACAGACCTTTAAGTCACTTTCTATTGCCGAGTAAGGTAGCACAATGTCTAGTGAGCCTATGGCCCACTGATGAAAGCCCTTGTACTATTCCAGACATACCCGGAAAAATATCACAGGCATCACACAGTTATTAATAATCTGCTCTCTCACACACACAAGATCACACATGTCTACGCTGTGGTAAATGAGCTGATAAAAATAAATTGTGCAGTTGGTTAATAAAACTCACAATGTTGTAATTTTGCAGTTCTACAGTAACTATCTCGTCACCAACACATGAAGTCTGGTGTTTTTATAGTATTTCATGATGCTGATTTATGTTCCAGGGTCACTGAATTTTGTATTTTTCTTTCTTTGACTAAACATTTACCTTAATAGTATTCCTTAGTATTGAATTCAATTAAAGTAATTCCATTTGTGCTTAAAAATTACACAGTGAAGAATAAATAAAATATTTAAGGAAAATCAAGATGTTGCTGATAAAAGCAGAACAGTTCCCACTATGAATACCCACAAGTGTTGACAGTTCTGTACTCTCACTACAAGTGAGAGTAAGGTGTTAAAGCTAAGTAAGATCTTACGAGGAAAGGGGGATTCAAAGTAATTCAAACGGAAATGTAATGAATCAAAAAAGAAGCACTGTGACACTTCTTTGATTAGAAATTATAGGATGAAATTGAGAATGGTATTGTAATCAGGTGGAGACTTAAAAATGGGTCGCCCCTGGCTCAGCCTGTGGGCGCAGGAGGCCGGGTGGCATGGGGGTCTACGATATACACAGAGGGATATCCACTCTTGGACATATTTACAGAGCTCTCTCAATAGGTGGAAAACAATTCTGTGTGGTAGTATCCTCCAGAAGTTGTCAGAGGGTGTTGCTTCAAAAGGCCACAGAGACAAATGGAGACTTGAGAGACAGGGAAGGGGTGGGAAAGTAGCAAAACGGTTGGGCTCACTTGTGGTTGGTATAAGTGGAGATGGCTCATAAGTAGGTGGATAAAAAAGAAAATACCCATATTCAGAAATCTTGAGATGTACCACTGAAACACATGTTTCACATATGTTTGTACTCAGTGTCTGCAAAATGATATACCTGCATTTTTTTCCCAGTGCAGCTTCAGAACCTGACAATCAGATATGAAGCCTCAAGGTAGAACACCCTTTAACATCCTTCCACTTTACTGTAATATCTCCAATATCACTAAAACATCTCCATTCAAACTTCCTCTCTTGCATACTCTCTCTGGCTTGTCCTGAAATCTGACATTAACAGATACATTAACGTAAAATGAGTTTTTAAAAATACTTATCACTACCTTATCCACAACATTAAAACTTTTGCAGAGGATAGAGTTGTAAGGCATAAGCACATAACAATGAATACATAAATGAATACTGAGATGTTCCTGTGGATCGCACCTCCAAGCCTATACCAGCTGACGTGAGAGGAGGGGTACACGCTGGACAGGTTGCCAGACTGTCACAGGGCTGACACACAGAGACAGACAACCATTCACACCTAGGGGCAGTTTAGAGTCACCAGTTAACCTGCATGTCTTTGGACTGTGGGAGGAAGCCGGAGTACCCAGAGAAAACCCACACTGACACTGGGAGATCATGCAAACTCTCCACGGAAGGGCTCCCACACCTGGGATCGAACCGGCAACCCTCTTGCTGTGAGGCGACAGTGCTAACCACCATACCACCATGCCACCCTCAAATTCCATCATCACACATAGATATATTTGGGCTTATTGAATTCACAAGAGTCTTAATTTTCTAGTCATACCCTTTTATTTTATCTTATTTTATTTCATTTTATTTTATTTTTGCAGTTCCAAGACTGCTTAGGGACCCCATATATGCATAAATATTCAAATACACCATTTCAAAAAATGACAATGCCACTTTTTCCCTCGTCATAATTTAGCCTAACTTTGAAGTGCTATATAGCATGACATGGTTGGTACCAGTGGATGCCTTAGGTCTTCTACTGTCTTATATTTAAAACTGAGCTCCCACAGCAGGTTATATTTACTAGTCCGGTCTGCCTAGCTCATCACCTTTGCCACTTCCAGCTTCGCTTGTCATACTTGCGACTGTCTCATTGCTAAGGCTGTGATGATGTCACTGAGTTGTACTGATTAGAATTTTCAGCTCGGCGTGACCAAATGTAATTGTAACAAAGGAAAATATAAATCAGCAAATATAAATGCTGACATAAACAATTTATATTATGATGTGTGCCCTATTTATTTATCTATGTTATAATTTATCAAGTATTATTTGTATTAGGGCCTATTATTATTGTCCAGTGCAAGACGCCACTTGCCTCATGAGGGCCTGTTAAAATAACTAAATAGTTCTGACTTTGGCAGACAATTCTGTTTTCACAAAAGCCAATGCACAAGATAAGCTAATTGAGAAAATTACTTTTTAGGACTTTTAAACAATTGTTAAACAGCAACAATGTCTTTCCATTAACAGTGCTGCTGTTGCTTTGGATAATCCACAGACATTATAGTTTAAGGAACATTTCATTGCCATCAGTTATAAGGAGTCAAGTGCCTCTAAAGCTAGCCAAGTAAAACCAAAACTATCTGCAAGGCTACCACTTGAAGTGAGTGAGAATTAAGCATTTCATTTAAATAAAAAAGTATTATCATTATTACTAATATTATTTTTATTATTACAAAATACAAACATTGCAAACTTTACCGTCAGTACTGCCTTGAGAGATCCTCGATATAACAAGTAATTGAGAAATATGGAGACATACTGTACCTGCACAGACGCTGTGCACACACCAAAGTCCTTCATGCAAATATCACTGGAACTGGGAATTGTTCCTTAAGTATCAACCACAAAGGTGAACAGAAATCAGACATATTTTTCAGATCTCCAATACGAATGACGCCTGCGGGGCAACTTAGTTTCAGCCACACATGTGACATGATATGTTCCCTTTAATTTGAATCGTTAATACTTGTTTATTTGTGACCATTACACTTCAGTGACAGGTGTGGTGTCAGTGTCTCAGTTTTGGTTAACTTTTCCACAAGATACAAACAAAAGTGGAAGAAGCGCTGTTAGTATGGTAGGCATTGTTCTTCTTTATACTTGTATGAATTTTCACTTGTCATCAGCAAAGGCAGTTGTTTTCTTTTTAGGCCTCCTGAAAAATCTTGGAATTGTTTTGTTTTTTATTTATTTATTATTATTATTATTATTATTGATAATTGTTTTTTCTCATTTTTACATATTCAACCATTAATTTATTTTTATTTTTGAATACAAACTGGTTCAGTTTTAATTAATGGAATTTTATAAAACATTATTCATAAAAAAAAAAGAAGAAATAAAGCAGATCATGTAATAAAAAATATATGAAACTAAAGACTTAAATTAAGGATAAGTTTTTTTTAATAATCCATAGAGCAATATTCAGATCATATATTTTGCATATCATACACTGCATCTTGATGCTATTAGTTTTTTTATTGGTCAGCTACTTTGGCTCTTGTCAAAATTAAACAGTATTACAAATAAAACAAATTATGTCATAATAATCACAATATTTTTTTAATAGATATTCTTTCATTATATTTAATAGAATATTATGTTTACACAGCAGGACGCAGCCTCAACCATACTTGATGGTTGCTGCTGCCTGTTTATCCGTTGCACCTGTCAATCATCCACAGTGCCCGCCTCCCAACGGGTAGCAAGTTTCTGCTGTATCACCTACAAACTGGACACTCTGGACAATTTTACACATCAAGTACGTGCATTATTTAACTGTTTGTTTAATATTGAGCTGTTTGGCTTCATTTACAACCAAACTGTGATGGTGTGTGACAGAAATGTACGTTAAATACGAGCAGGAAATGAAGGGCTGGGAACAGGTGCATGTAGGATAGCGCTCGCCAGCTTTGACAAATCGATGTTTATGTCGCGGTTTGTTGCATTTTAAAGCCGTTTGAAAGTGATTTAAATCAATTTGGTGGTTTGTAATGGCGACGGTGGATAGCGGTGGATAACTCATGTGTCAGTGGGGTCTGTTCAGGACGCTTTCACCTGTCGTCATGATGTACATGTTGTTCCTCCTCTGACTGTAGGCAAATTTTTGCTAACTTTACTGAAGTGGTTTCTTCCTCTTAATACATTCATAAACCCCTCTGTAATATTTAAATAGTCTAATTTGTTTAACACTTATAGGGTTGGCAGAATGTAACACTTTATTAAAGAGACTTTACAGCAGGGTGGACTAATTTAGGGCAGCACTATTTTTATGTTTACCTCCTGGAGGAAGCAGCTTTGGCATATTTTCACAGACACCCTTCCTGCTGTGATTCATTATTAGGGCACAGATACATTCTTTACATTTCAAGCAAAGGAGGAACAGTGTTTACATCTCGAGGACATTTCTGCAATATCCAAAAAATAATCATAATCTCTTTATTTTTAACCCCACATGCAGAATTTCCTGACCACACTGCCCTTTACCCACAATGGCCTCCTCCTCCTCATCAGTTGGAGATAATCAACTGCAGAGGATAATCAGAGATCTGCATGGTAATTAAGCCGTTCACACCTACAGTACACACCACCACTTACAGTCAGTGCTGTCACAAAATTATTGTGGTAGCAAAAAACAGTGTGCAGATTCTAAAAATGTTTAGTTTCCTGTGTGAATATAAGAACATGGTTTGCTATTTATCTCCGCCAGGTGTAAGCCTGGAGGGGATCATGTGTTTGGTTGTGTGTGTGTGTGTGTGTGTGTCTGTCCGCAACTAACCAAACTACCATAAAAATTAGCCTCAAATTCGCTCTGTACGTTTATGACTGTATACTCAAGAATGAATTGTGGTCCTGGTGATTAATAATTGCTTTTTAAAAAAAGCGCCTCTCTCTTCTCAACTTGCTGGCAGGAGCCACAAGTTTTTCGGAAATCAGCTCAGCTAAAAACAACAAGCATTACCGTCTGGTGCAGGCCCCAGTTTGGCCATCATCATGGCTCAACAGCCAACATTTCTTTCCTTGATATTTGTGCTTCTACTATAAGTGCCCAAAGTGAGCAGGCTGTGTAGCCTAGTTACATGTTTTTATGCCTCCACACTGGCCATAGCTGCGGCTTAAGGCATTACGTTTTCAGATAGTCGTCTCTCCGTCCATCGTCTGTTCATATGTATGTATGTCCGTCCATCCTGTTCTCATGAGTGCATTATCTGAAAAACGCCTGAATTTATTCAAATTTGGCACAAATAATCTGACCAGAATTTGGTGGTTGAAGGTCAAAGGTCAAGATCACTGTGATCTCACAAAACATTTTTTGGCCATAAGTCAGGAATTCATATGCTTATTGTGACAACATTTCACACAGATGTCTAATAGGATAAAATGGTGAAGTAATGACATTTTATATCCAAAAGGTTCACTTCACTATGATGTCATAATGTTCTGCAAAAACGCTTTTCTGGCCATTATTTAACTTCATAACTCAGGAACGGAAGGGGAGACATTTGATCAGATACTGAATTGGTGACACTAATCTTGGGTGTCCATCTTAAAACAGTGCGGATTGTATGAATCTTCTGTGCTGCAAGATTGAAAATGTGTGTAAAGGATCCATGTTTTCACTTACATGGATGTAAACTGTAAGTGCAACTTGATGGGTTTGTGGAGGCATATAACCACTCTGCGGTAATTCTATTGTTCCTCTGTTTAAGTTGTGTTTATTGTTGTTGTTTTCTACTTTGTTGTGCTGTAGCCTACACACAAAGTTAATGCCATAAAAGTTCAGTTATGACACAGATCAAATATTAATGGCTTTGTTTTAGTCATTAAAGATACGTTCATCCTCATATTATATTCTAGGCTATCCATATTTCATATACAGTGCTTGCTAGCAGGAGAAATCGATCCACTCTGTGTGATGCCTTGTGGCTCTGTCAAAAGTAGACAAGGCGTATATTTTTATTAGCTTCTGGGATGCTTCTGTGATTAGCCCAGGCAGCTGCCTGGCTGTGATCTGCACTTCACTGTGTGGACTTTCCTTGTTGTGTATGTGTTAACACTGCTGTTACTGTCTTGTTTAGATGCTGTGTTAGAGTTGAGTAAAGAACACAAGGAGTGCGGTGAACCCGTAACTGATGACAGCGGCAACCTGCACAAGTTCTTCTATAAACTAGAATACCTGCTGCAGGTACGGTATCATACCATATCACATAATACTTTAATACCACAAAACTTCATCACATTTTGAATTTAGGGTTTATCAGAATGATCCAGTTTGTGTTTGAAAATGGAACAACACTTCTCGTCTAACTCTCCAGACCAGTGCTTTCCAACTGGGCAGTAGTAACCTCGAAAGGACACAGGTTATGAGTAAGCATTACTTTGCCACAGTATAAACGTCAGAAGCTGGTGTCTGAGATTAGCACTTGCCAAATGTAAGTAAATTGTTGGCAGTGGCATATCAAATTGTCACGCCAACCGTCATTTTGGCAGCCAGAGAAAAGGCACAGCAGACAGACATGTCGTGACTGCTGTATAAATGCAACAGTATTGTCTGTAGGACTCTATTTATTTGATTGACAGTCGCGGTTCACTGTATTCTATCCAGTAACCATCAATAAAAAGAACAGCTATACAAATGGCTTAATTTTTTACCTTAAATGATGTCTACATGATCTAAATGTTATTCCTTCATTTAGCGCGTAGATTTTCAAAGTGGCAAATACAATTTCTGAGTGGCAGACAAGAGATATACCTGCCTGCCACATTGATGATGAAAAAAGTTCATCTCAGACCCTGGTAAGAAGCTAAAGAATTTGAGAATTGGTGTGCTAAACCAGGGATTACCAACCCTTAAAATGAAGCACTAATGACCCCTCACCATGGTTGTTTATATCAACAAGTTGCAGTTTTACTAAAGAGTATTTTTTTCCTCCAAACCTCTTAGACTGTCTTTTTGATTAGAGAATATGAAGGTGAAACAAAATATTTCCTTCCCGACAATCAATTATCTCATAACCCACTGAAGCAATCTCATGACCAACAGATTGGGAACCACAGCTCTGGAAAGACTAAGGTGAAACAGGCAGGACATTCATAGGAATGATATTAATTGTGATGTGATTCAGTACACAGCACTGTCAGATAGACCTGTACATAATGAGGTGATTTGTGTCTCTTAGTTTGACCAGAAAGAGAAGACAACCTTTCTTGGTCAGAGGAAAGACTACTGGGATTACTTCTGCGACTGCCTGATTAAGATCAAGGGAGCTAACGATGGCATCCGTTTTGTAAAGTCCATCCCCGAGGTAATCCTCCTCACGCACACGCACACACACACACACACACCCACACACCCTCGGTGTGTCGGCCCTGCCATGTCGTGCAACACAAGCAGACACACAAATACATGGTGACTGTATAACCATGGAACTAATCCTCTGGTGAGTCAGGTACAGTACGACTCAGCGCTGCTAATTCACTCGCTGCCTTACACCTGTTCCTTCCTCACCCGCTATCCTGGGAATTCACAGTGGTGAGCTTCATACTGAAATATCTGTCGCTGAATTAGTCCTAGTTTGTACTGTATTTAATTTGTTGCTTGTTTAACCTTCTGTTAACCTGATATTAATTATTTTGTGTGTTTTAAAAGCTGTTTTTTGTCTTATATATTGGAGTATACTAGCTATGCTGCAACTAACACATTTTTATAGTTTCAGTGAATATGCTGATTATTTATTTTATTAATTGTTTAGTTTATAAAATGTAAGAAATGTTGCC